AGGAAACAGCCCTTTTCTAATTTATTAAGCTTCTGTTTCTAAATCTGGATTACGGATCTGTTAAATCCAGAATTTTCCCGCAGGTAGTACGTTAAAGATTCTGCCCACAGTACTCTGGGTATTTTGGAATAAATCTCCAAATCCACGAAACCTTAAGCTGTATTATTCCGGGAATCTTAAAAAGACATGTCAGACTATATAGTACATATACCCTGTTTGTAAACTTAAAAAAACTGGCAATTAAAACATTTAACTCTACAGTGACAGTTAAAAATATAGATATTATGGCATATGGCTTAGAAGTGGAATTTATTACTTGTTTCTTTTATGAAAACTATTCTTCATTCCCTAGAAGTAAACCGTTCACCAAGTCAGAGACAAGTTTATGGCACTTAACGAGCTCCCAACACAACCGCTTGCTCAGGACAGTGTGTCTCCATACATGTTTGCCACAAAATAGGTACTTTAGAAATTAACTGAGAAACTCAAATATTTACTTTAAAATGCGAGAAAAAAGAGAATCAAATCTTAAAGGATACAGGAAGAAAATCTTAAAATAATATCAAAGGCTGTATAATACTATAACATACATAATTTGTATTTTTGAAAAATATCAAATGCAAATTGCGGAAGGATATGGTCTACAGAGAAACAAACACCTGCAAATAGTAATGTGACACACATTTCTCCATTAAAAAATACCTTTGATGTTGACATACGCTAATTACACAGCGTAACTTGCTTGATCTTATTTTTCTTGGTTTATCTTTGACTTGCCTTCCTAAAAGTTCATTGAATTATAAGAGGGCACTTATTGTACATATTTGTATCATGGGAATGTTCAGCATAACACCAACATTTTCAAAGTTTCATTTTGAAGAACAGTTTCCACCAGTATGTAAGCTTTTACTGCTATGAATGGCACAAGATTAACAATTACTGTCAAAGCTCCATAGAAGGAGGGCGCATAAATCATAACTGATGTCCAGAGAGTACCTCTGCCATTCCCACGGCAGCATGCCACAGGGAAGGGGACTCGGGGCCTTGGCCAAGCCTCCCGGCTGCAGCTGGACATCTGTAAAGCCTTCCTGCCCAGTCTCACAGCCGAGGAAAGGTACCAAATACAAGCCGCTGGGAAACCGTAACATCCAGAACAGGACAAAACTGAGGTGCTGACTTCCTTGTTACCTCAGGGGTAAGAAAATCACGCTCTATCTTATGTTCCACAGCACAAGCTTCTATACGTATCTTTTTTTTACACCAATAAAGGGAAGGGCCTTTATGTTCGCTGAGAATAACTTCAATGTTATAATCAAATGCAGTACTTGGAATGTTGTCACAAGCCTTACTTAATAAACTGGTATATAGAAGTATGTTTGTACACAGGTGTATCAAATACCACTTCAAAGAGGACCCTCTGCTAGCATTTTCGTGCTCCCACCATGCTGCAAATCCAGCAGACCTGGTGCCTGTCAGGCAGAGGGAGGCGTGGCTTCACTCATACCCTGCTTTAGGGCCACAGACTCCCTTTTACACAGTGAGCTGCACAGCTGGAGAATTACTTGCCATGGCGAGTGGCGTGTCTTCTAGGCCTTTCTGTGTTAGTAGGGAAGGCTGTTTGGAAACCTGGGCTACTTGGGAAAATGCTGCTTAAGAAGGAAACTGGTATGTGAAACAAAGTATTGACAGAGTACAGGGATACAAGCCAGCTCAAAAATTCTTAAGGCTGAGGAAAATCCGGTGCTTCTGATACAAATGTAAACGTTACCCATGTTTTTATAAGGAAGTTAATTCATGTGCTATTTTCCTAGAAAAAGAGAAAAAGATTCAGAAAGATTCAGATATGTAGAAAACAAATTTAATTTGCACTGTGAAGAGAAGCAAATTGATGACATAGGACAATTTAGAAGGCTCATAAATTTTCCAACGGTATCTGCTTTGAGTCCAAACAGTTCTTGACTGTGTTAGTCAAATCAAAAAAGTTATCAGTTGTTTACCTGTCACATTCAGTTTTACCTGTCACAACAGTCCTTCAAATGGATTAATGAGACAAGAGGTTAAAAATGTTTTTATACAACAGCACTTGAGGGAATATTAAATTCTACACATAATTATTTTTACATCTTCTAGCTTCCTAGGCAAACTATTTAGACTCTTTCCAGCATTAAAACGTTCAAATAACATAAGACAGAATCACAAGGGATATCCACTTTGTAAAGGGGCCAGACAGCAGTCGCTGTCCTGCAGAGGGGCTGGGACCATCTGCGCTTGCACTCACACCCGTCGGTGGTAGTCCTCAATAAACTCAGGCTGCTCACTTAACCACTGAACCACATTCCATTACTGGTAAAATAGAAGAACAAAATTGACCACCGCTGCAGAGTTGTCCTGAGGATTAATTTTAAAATTACATTTTATAAATATCTCTTACCAGATGAAATCATAAAGATAAAAATTTTAAATTCCATCACGTAGCATAACTAAATTAGAGAAACTAAAATCTGTACAACGGTTGTACATGCATGACATGGTTCTGATTTTTAAATACACTTAAAACACACAAGAAGAATGCAACTATATATTATAAAAATGTTAAGTTTGAACCCTGATCAGTGTGGTTCAATTGGTTGGGTGTCCTCCTATGCATCAAAAGGTTGCCAGTTCAATCCCCAGTCAGGGTACATGCCCAGTTTGTGGGCTTAATTCCTGGTTGGGGGTATGCAGGAGGCAGCCAATCTATGTTTACTCTCACATTGATGTTTCTCTCCCCCCCACCCTTCCTCCCTCTAAAAATAAATAAAAATATCTAAGACAGAAAAAAATGTTAAGTTTGCTATAGTTAGATGTACTAAGCTGCTATATTCCTGAAACATGCCAATGTAAAAAAATATCATTTATAGGTCTGATGATGAGCCAGGAGGTTTGTTAATGAAGATTACTTGTTTCCTGAACAGAAATCCACGGGAGGCTAATATTTTGCCTCGTTTCAATATAACATATTTTGCTAAAATAACTGAAAAAATGTTAGTATTTCAACAAAACAATAAAGGGATATTCTCCAGCCAGGTTTATAAGTAAGTTGACTATTTCTTTAAGAACAAAGTTTTAGAAAGTAAACAGATTTAACAAGTTACCTCCAAGATTGCTGAAATATTTTCAGAGGTACTGCATCATGTTCTGCCTGAACTACTTAGTTTGGAAAACAATTTAACAGCAGAACCACCAAAAATGTTCTATTGCTTCATTTAAAATTCTCAAAAAGGTCTGACACACAGATGAGCAGGTTCCTGATGGTTCCAGCATACTCAAATCTGTGTTTCCCAAAATCTGTATTTTACAGGTGATAATAGGGGTTTCCACAACACATCATCTTGGAAAATGTTGAATGCTACAGCCACTTCTTAGAGATTCGCAAGGTACATGTAGCATTTTTAAGGTTTTCAGAAGGTTTGCAGTAAAAATGCCTGTTGAAGTTTAATTCAGCATTTCCTAAATTCGTCTGCATGCTAAACACTTTTTCTTCAGCATCAATCTTTCCGGGTAACAATCTGAAGAGTGCTCGACTAGCCTAAAATCCTATCTGTAGATACATACACACAAATGCTGGTTGGTCTTGTTGTTCAATAGGGGTGAATATAAGGAAACAATAATGTATACTTAGCACCAATCAGCATTCACCAAACCTGAGGACTCCAAAGAGATCTGCACATGCTTGGGATCCAGCCGCCAATGGCTGCAAACAGGCAGTGACAGGTCCACACGGCCACCAGCAGGGGTCACTCTGCACCACACAGCTGGAGAGACTGTAGGCACTGGGGCCCCTGGAGGCAACTCAGAGGTGTAATCCAGAAGCTGAAGACACACTTAGAACACTGCTTCCTAAAACATTCAGAGAACCCCAAATGGGTCTTCATTTGAAAAACACCGATTGATCGGACACTTCCATTTTATAAACAGATGATTTGCCCAGGCAGCAGGAGTAAGTAGGACTCAAGCCCCAGCGCACAATCATCTTGGTTGTTAGACCACTACCTTGGTGCCTGATCTGACAACACAAATCCAGGGCATGAGCATGATATGTGTATGTGTGTGTACACATGAGTGAGTCAGCCTCCACCAAAAGCCAATAAACAGTTTATATAAAAAATAAATAAATAACAAACATATCTGCCTAGCTAGCCAGCAGTTTAGTATGTTTGTAGCAAAACTCACTTCTTAAATTCATATTTCTACTATCTTCATCTACTTATTCACAACCAAAAGTGAAATAACTTCCAGAATGAAGTAAAATATTACACTTTAGCCTGGGCGGTATGGTCAGTGGTTGAGCATCAATCAGCCTATGAAACCAGGTCACGTTTGATTCCAGGTCAGGGCACATGCCCGGGCTGTGAGCTCAATCCCCAGTAGGGGGCGTGCAGGAGGCAGCCAATCAATGATTCGCATCATTGATGTTTCTACCTCTCACCCTTCCTCTCTGAAATCAATAAAAAAATATTTTAAAAACTTATACTTTTAAAAATATACTTCATAAAATTTCTCCAAAATGCCACTTTGTTATTTATGGCTATAAGACTCTATTTTTCTTAGGAAAAGAAATGTGAGGATTCTCTTTAGAGAATGATTTGTTCATTGTTTGCACCTTGGCCTAGCCCCACAATGGCACGGGGACTTCTTTTCCTTTCATTTTGCTTTTCCTACTAAACTGGGCATGCACTTTAAAAAACAAAAATAAAAACTGACCTTAGTATAAAAAAGCATTAAAGTTGTGTTTTTTTCTATTTATGCATACACACACACACACACACACACACACACAAAAAAAAACACACACAAAAATGAGATGCTCCATTCTTAAGACAAACTTCCCAGTGATTGAAAAATTAAAGAAAAATAGATGAAATAAAAATGTACAATGAGTGGCCCTGTATTGTTTAGAACATATTTAACCTAAGAAAGTGAGAGCTTCTCCATTAAGGCAGATAGAAAGTGTTCTATTGCCTGGCCTTTCTTTGGAAGACAATGTTCATGAGAACAGCCAAATCATATTAAACTGCAAACTATGCTACTCCCCCCCCATGTAACAAATATTAAAAGCCACAGGCTAGCAAATGCAAAATTTATTTCAACTGTACATAACAGACGTCTTTTTTTTTTTATAAAACAAACACTTCATTGCCATATGCAACCACAAACAATAACATGATACTATACAATACAATGCAACATTCAGGTATACATCCAACTGAGTCTTCAAAGGGCAGTCACCCACTAAAAATGGCTTTCCCGTTCACAGATAAAAAGCACAATATATAAATTTCTCCCAGGTCTTATACCAATATATATACATTATTGTGTTTGGCAATTTTATGCAAAACACAATTAATATAAGCTTATGTATTTGTGGCAAGTGTTAATTCAATGGGAACACCATTTAGGCCATTTGCAACAAGGCCTAGTAATGGCTTAACCCTACTTTCTAGTCCAGATTCTTCATCCTTTCATTATAATACTAGCTGTACACATAGATATTACAGAACTGTATAAGCATATAATACTATTTCAGCATGACTAAAGTTCCACAGAAGTAGAAACATGGCCCTTTGGACGCCTTATCACCACTGCCACACAAGAACTGTTTTCAGGCCTGTGGCACTATTACTTCCAACCAGGTCATAAGAACTAATGGTGCCAGACATTCAAAACAAATCCAAACAAACAAAAAACCAGGTTGTTATTGTGCAGTGATCTTAGCATCAACAAAGAATCATCGTCAAATGGCTTTAACTGGTACAAACAGGAATAATAGGAACATGTCAAAACTTTGGTGTATAAAAAATGAAACTCATTTAGACAACCCAAATGATACTAGTGTTACAGAAAAATCTAAGTGCAGCAACTGTATTTCAATTGTGGTATATAGCAAATGACCCAGGCAACCCAAGTTTACTAAGGCATGGCAAAGGCATCGAGGCCAATGCACCAATTATAGTCTCAAAGCAAACAAAAAGATGTTCTATTCATATCAGAAAAGGTGAGTTCTCTACGTAATATAAAACAAAATTGCTTCTAAATTCCTTGCATGATATTGAGTAAGCATATGAACTGTGTAGTTATAGCTTTCCAAAAATTCCATTTGCTATTTGGCTGAACATATATTAAACTCCATCTCTACCATGGGTTAATACTGAGCTCTAATTTTAAACGATTGCTCCTCAACTTTTTTATACTAATTGATATAAAAATATGAAATCTCCAGATGTCATAAGCTTGAAAACAGATACTTAGAATTATCGGTTTTCCCAATGACCCCATTGCATGCAGTGCTGAAGCTGTCTGATTTTCTAAGCAATATGCTACTGCCGGGAGTTCACTAGCACCTCTGGGCTTGTGAGCAACAGGACCCAGCTCCCAGGAAACAATGACATAGTGTATCAGAGTTGTCTCTGTGCAAACGAGATCAGAACACTGAATACATGGGTTTGGTGAAGGAGGTATGGTGAGGGAAGAGAGAATTCACAGCCACCTGGAATTACAGCCACCCTGAAGAAAGGAAAAAATGTTATTCCCAGTTTATTATGGCATCTTGTTTTCTGAAGCTGGTTTCAATGGATACTTAAAACACAACCTTAAGGTTCCATTTTAACACCAGATATAGCATGCATGGGAGAGAACACACTTCCTCCCCTCTAGCAATGACCGGATGTGGATTTGGATGCTACAACTGAATGCAACACGTCACATTCAGTTCTTTTTGAAGCAGAAATTAGTCTTGAGTGATGCCAGTGAAATCTCCTTACAACAAATCCCAGGAAAATGGGGGACTGAACCCCAATCTGAGCTTTCCTAATAAGTGAGTTACATGGCAACTCAGTAAGTCTTCAATAGACTCAGATACCCCATTACAATCAAGAATGAGGGTTACATAGGATAGGGTTGCTGTAAATGGAGATTCACTGCAGCTCGTCGCTGAAAACAAACAATGTGTCCATCACAGGCAGTATAAGTATGAATGTCAGGGTGAAAGCCAGGCTGTGACTGAAGCCAAAGCACTCGCCTTTTTAAGCACACCAAAATGCCTCTCTCTGAAAGCGCTCTAATCTACACTTTCAGAGGCTCAATGCTTCAGAGTTTGGACTTTAAACCTTCGGTAGAGTGGCACAGGCTTGCTAAGTGCCATTTAAGAGAAATTACTCCAATTAAGGAAAGTTTGGTGTAATGACCGTGTCTGAACTCTGACAATAATTTGGACTTTGCAGAGGAAAATTTACACCCCACGGGCAAATGGGGGCACAGGGAAGAGCACATGTGGCACACTGACAAGCACAGAGCTGTAGGGTGCAGACAAGCTTTCCAGTGCTGCCAAGGCCCAAAGCCCCCACCAACACATGGTTCTTCATGGTCGCCAAGTGCCCCCAGGAGTCCTCAGAACACGCTGTCTGAACGAACTCTCAGTACTTTTGTGCATGCTTTTTCCTTCTTCTCTCCACAACTACTTGATCAGGGTGTCCATTATACATAAAAAATTTAGAATCCTATATATAAGGCCAGAGTCTCCTCCGTGTTACTGGCACTTAGATCACAAACCTGTATGGTTTCAGTATAAAATATAAAAGTGTTCATATAGCTGTATCCAAAAAGAAATGAGACAGTTGCTATAGTGAGAATTAAAAAACCAAACCATTTTGGGCTATAAAACCACCACTATCCAGAGAAAAGAACCCATAGATATAGGCTGTGTGAATTCACCATCTCCTTCAACAGTTAGTAAGTAACTTCAAATGGATACTTGAATTGGCAATTATGCCTCCACAAAATACAATGGGAATATCAGAAACGCTCTCAAAAGTTGTTAAAATATCACATAAAAGAGACAAGGAACAGCAAGAAAACATCTAAGAAAAGCAGGCTGCGATACAACAAGCATTTGTTAAGAAAGCTCAGAAGTGCATTAGTTCTGGTGAGAGATATATGAGCAACAGCTCTTACGAGATGTAGAACCCATTCTGTAACTATGGGCTGTCCATATACTGTCATAGTCAGAGTCTTCCGAGAGGTCTGAAGGCTCCAAACGAGAAAGGCTACTGCGACGACCCAAGGAGTCTAGACTTGATTGGTCATCATCAGCCAAGACGTGATTATGCATCAGGTCAGTGCCTTGCCATGCTAAGACGGGAGTGGGATGGAGTGACAGGTGTGACAGGCAAAGGTGAGATGAAAAGGAGGACGGACAGGAAGAGCCACAACCAAAAACATGAAAATAAAAGCAAAAGGTGATGGGAAAAGAAGGAAAAGAGAAAATACTGTTAAAAAATGGCAACAATGTTCACTTCTCCTTATTTATGGCTGGGTTTTAATAACAAAGTTAGCACAACCCTTAGAATAAAACCAGAACAATTATTATTTAAATAAACCTAAAGCACAATATTATTTCCAAATTGTTCCTTTCTGAAAACATTGCTATTAAGTCCTCAGTTAAATCTTTTCAAATTAAGCCCAGGTCTAGTACAAATGAATCCATAGACATTTAACAAGTAACCAATTCTATTCCACATTCTATTGACAAATAACCTCATTTAAGACATTATTTGTAAAAGGAACCATTTGTGTGGTTAATTAAAAATTGTTTCCTATCCATTAAGTGGATATTGAATGCAAAATAGTTTCAAAGGATTTTTGACTTACTTCTTCAGCTACCTCTTTGTCAGACTACAAGTCACCAGAAGTCATCTTAATGATGGGGGTCTAAAACTTACCTTATGAACTATAACCACTGTAAAAATTTCAGAATGGAGAAAGGAATTAAATAGGATCCGCTTCCCACTCATTGCCCCTTTCCCATCACCCCGCATGTCCACTCCTTAGAGCGCTCAGCCAGTGGATATGGATAAAGTGGGAAGCCATGTCAGTTCAGGTGTTATCTACCCTGGTGCAGACCCTTTTACTGGCAGGAAGAGCGATGTGAACTGGTAGTGCCACTATGTTAAAAGAAGGACAACAGGAGGAAGTGGGAGCAAAATGGGAGAACAGAAATAAGCCCATGAGTGGTTGGCATCTGTGAGCAATGACTGGGCAGGCAGCTGTGCATGAGGCAAGCAGGCTGGAATGGACCAGGGACAAAAGTTCTGGAACGAAACACTTAGTGGGAACCAGAGTACCCCTCTGTGTTGGGGAATGGCACAGACAGCAACCACTGGTCCCATCCTGTTCCTGCTTCTGACCAAAGTAATTCCATTCCAAATCCGCAACAAGCAATAGTCTAGTTTGGATTTCTTCAACTAAATACCTATAGTCTGTGAAGGTCATTATCTCTTTGAGATAGAAATTAATACCCAAGATGTTTAGTTTGTAAATGGCATCTAAATGTATACGGAACTAAGCTGAATTTTAGATAAGACATATTATCCTGTCTTCACTAAAAATTTAATATGAAAAGAGCTGCTTTCACTCTGATCCCATTTCCAAATGTGTTAAGGAAATCACCTTCCAAGCGCAAAGGGTCTATTTCCTATCCGACCTGCTCTTAAGAATGTTTGGGTTAAGGCCATATATGATTGTATATATGAGTTGGTTCATAATAGCCGTTAAATATAAAAATCAATGTAGTGTCCAATGCTTTTCTTGCACAGGAGAAATGGAAACACATAATAAAAGCAATGTGACAAGGAAAGATCTGCACAAACAATGAGCCATTCCTTTGAGGCAGCCAGAAGCAGCAAGGCCACAGGCATATCACAGGGCAGTCACTGTCTCTTGGATGAAGAAATGCAGCGCCCACAGAAAACATACATAAAGCTCATATTGCCTAGTCTAGTCACCTGAGACTATCAGGTTGAAATTGTGTTTCAAATAACTGAAGTTGAGATGAATAATTCTTTAACATCTCAAATTCAAAACCAAAAACATTTTGACATTTTACAGCCTATTACTTATAACACAATCTCATCAAATATATGAAACTGTATGTAATATCTTAAATGACAATAATCTGGACTTACAAATGATTGCCTGATTTTATGCATATGCACTCCACAATCAGACCTTTCCATTTCTATTCCTTCTCTGCTGGCTAGTCACTACGAAAGACATTTTCACCAGTGAGAATATGGGGGAAAAAGTCTTAATGTCACAGGTGGGATATGTAATGTACTGGCCACAGGAAGTTTTTAGAGGATCTGTAAATGCCACTTGGGGTTTAACCCTATTAGTCCTATCTTCATCTTTAACAAAAGCTAAAGCAGTTGAAATTCCCTTTCCCACTCCCACCCCCCCCTTCTTTAGTTTAAAAACAGGACAGGACACTGATTCTAATCACCATGCTACAGGTAATGAAAATGAAGGAGAGATAAGTGATTTGTCAAATGTCAGGGTGGAAAGGGTACCAAACATAGAAAATTGAATAAAAACTAGTTTTTATGCTAGAAGTAATATATAAAACATCCAGTTCTTAAAAAATAAAAGCCCTAAGAAACAACAGTACAGAAGGATACCCTGTGATGCTTGTGGCCCCAGCACTAGCAGAGGATAAACTTGTCCCCTTTTCTTCTGAACAAACCACATACTTTACTCCATCTGCCCCACCTCCCACTGCACTTTACTCCATCTGCACTCCACCCTCAAATGCTGGGGAAGTTAGAAAAAAAAGGAAAGGCCCACTTGTTATTGTTCTCACAATAGATTAAGATTTTAAGACATTATGCATAAGATGCAGGCAAATTCAGTGGCACTGAAATCTAATAAATTGTGTCTACTTTCAAAAATTTTTAAATGCAATCATTTAAAAAAAGGGAGTGGACTAAAAGAAACCTTGTTCTAGATTTATATTTTTAACAATTGTAAAAAGCTAATAATTAAATAAATAAAATCCCAATACCACACCAATAGTTTAAGTAGCTTAAATAACTGAACTGAATGAATCTTCCGCTGATATTGAAATACATCTTCTCCACGCTTCACAAACTCTGGCAGCACCTTATACTTAAAGGCTTCCCAGTGGAACCTTCTCTAGAAATCAGTTATTTTACTGACAGCTCAGACCCTTTCAATGATTTAGGGATGTGAGGCTCAAGCTATCCTATACCTGCCTAGACCACAGGAGCATCACTCACTAAGGACCCTTCAGGAGCACACAGAGGGCCGTGCACAGGACCCCACAGCCCAGTTTCCTTCCCACTGTGATTTACAAAAACAAACAAACAAAAAACCCCCCCACACACCAAAACAACGAACCACTACTATAAAACTTACTTGAGTTAAGTGTTTGCCGTGTTTTGGCGCTTGTGCAATAAGCTTCGATGACTTTCAGAATCTGTGCATCTTCTTCCAAAGCAGCTGTGCCTGTCAAGACAGACACAACATGTCACAATCGAACTAAAAATGACAAGTACAACAGGTCACAACCTAAAAATAACTACTCCAATTAAGTAGAGGAATGTGAAGTCATCCACTCAACCAAAATGATGACAATCAAGATAACCCCTCCTTTTATTTTCTTGTCAGATAACTATTTTCCAGTATTTACAAAATTACATTCAATAGAATTTTTAATTTAAAAGTATTTATCTGCAGCATATTGACAAAGGTTAATATATCCTAAGTACATGTTATCTTACTAATCCAGAAGAAAAATAATATTCCATATCCTGAAATTGAAAAAAAGGCAAGAACCAGAAACAAGCATTTCACACAAAAAGAATACAGTCAGTAACAAAAAATAGTCAATCCCACTAAGAAGTGAGAATTAAAACAAAGCATCAGGTTTTCACATACCAAACTGATAACAAGTGAAAAAGCTGACAATTCTCAATGTTGATATGGATAGTGGAGAGCAAGTCTTCCCTTCATCCACAGCTGGTAGGAATGAAGACAGGCGATATGACCGCATTTATCAGAGGCTTTACAAAGAACATTTCCTATGATCCACAAATTCCTACTAGAGATTTCATCTAAGAAATTTATAAGGCACAATCTAAAGCTTGAAGGTATCATTCCAGGGCTCCTTACGCTATGGATTATTCCAGACACTGGCTTCACTCTCAGACATCACAGGTACAGAGAACAGAATCTTCCAGACTAACAGCATCTAATGGTATTAGTACCAAGCTCAGAGTCTCACACTTCATATGAACCTAGGGTTAAATTGTTTCTATAGTTTGTTTTCCTAGATTTTCTAACATAATATTTGGATATTTTTAAAAATATATTTTTATTGATTTCAGAGAGGAAGGGAGAGGGAGAGAGAAACACTGACTAGCTGCCTCCTGCACGCCCCACACTGGGGATCAAGCCTGCAACCTGAGTATATGCCCTGACTGCACTGAACTGTGACCTTCTGGTCTATAGGTCGACGCTCAACCATTGAGCCACGCCGGCCAGGCTGGATATATTTTTTAAAAAGCTCACCTACTGTAATAAAAATGTAAGAAGAATGGAAGGCTGAAATATTTATAAGTTGCACACTAAACCCTCTATGTCATTTTATGATAATAAGACAGTTATATACAAAGCAAGCCGAATAGTCCCTACTGAAAAATAAACTCCAGTATGAAGAGTTTAAGAGCAACTGAGAAGCTGACTTAAATTTCATGAATTGGGACCAATCAATTAACAGGTTTCTCATTATAAGCTCCATAACAAGCTCCTCTCTCAGGAGTAAGAAAGGTAACATTTAACTAGTTTAATTTCTGGAGGTGTTGCAAGGTAACTTCCAGGAACAGGCCATTCCCTCTGTGCAGCTGATGTAACTGGATTATTTTCAGACGTGGGCAAGTACAGTGGTTTCCTCCTCAGTGCCACAAAAGCATCATGAAGCCAGAAAGGGACTGGCTTCCCTGAGAAGGTTGAAGAAGGTAAATTAATGAGAGGACAGCGAACATTTTCTATGTGGCACAGAGGAGGAAACCACTAGTTCTAATAACCAGAAAAACTTCTCTGATTCTGAATGTAATAAAGGTTAAAGTAACTTACAGAATTACAATGTGACTTTAAAGGAGTCAGATTTACTTAGTACTTGCTGAACACAGCAAGTACTAGTTACACAGTGGTCCACACAGTTAAAGTTTCTCCTTTAGCCCATACAAAAACCCTTGGTTTTCTTATTACCTCCTGGTTCTTCTTCTGCTAGCTCCTTCCCTCCCTCATCATCTAAGACTCAACCCTTTCTCTTCTTCTCTGTCTGTTCAATCTCACAGCTTGAGAAACCACCTAAGCACAGAGAACAACTCTGAAATTCTCACCACTGGCCCAGACATTCCCCCGGCCTCAGAGCCCTGACCCATCACAGTCCTACAAGCTGAAAGCTTCACTCCCACAAACCCCGCGTCCAATCCAACAGCACATCACTAGTGTTTCTTTCCTGCTCGAGTATCTACACCGCAGTAGTTTGTCGCTCTTGCTGCTCCAACAATTTCCTTTGGAAGTGCCACGAAGGCTCCGACCTGACCTGTGTTTGAAGACTTTGAGAAGCCATCTCCCTACCCCAGGCACACTGTGCTGTGGGGTGTGAGGCAGACCCGGACCTTTGTGCCCACAGACTCACTTTTCCTCAGCGCAAACTCTTCGTCCGAAGGCTTCCGCTCTGGTTTACGCTTAGGTAGCAACTTTTTCATGGTCTTGGGACTCTTACTAAGATCCTAAGGGAAAAAAAGAGAAAAAATGCTGACAATTTCCCAAGGCAGTAATTTTTACTGACAGGTCAGTAAGTGTCACTGTAAAGGTGTAAAATATTAAATCACCACAGCCAATCACTGTTAAAAGTTTCCTACGTTTCTCATATTTTGATTTTTTGCCAGCAGCGAAGCATTAATTTAAAATCAATACTAGGACAGTAACTGGTAAGAACCCTCATTTTACTTAGGTCCGTCAGCACTGTCACACACACAGCAGAGGGGAGACAGGCAGCCTCTGGAGAGGAAAGGACAGCTGGCTGGCGTGCGCACAGAGAGCCATGCATGCTACTAATTCTGGCACAGACCCATCTGCTGCCGCTAACTAGAAAGAGATGAGAAAACTAAGGCTATTTTTACAATTTTTTTATTTGAGAGAGGGAGAAACATCAACCTGCTGTTCCACCTATACATACATTCACTGGCTAAATCTTGTATATGCCCTCACAGGAAATAGAACCCACTTACCTTGGCATATTGGGAAAACACTCTCATCAACCGAGTCACCTGGCCAAGCCCAGGGCTATTTTTAAAGGAGAGGTAAGTAAAAAATGAGTCCTTTAGGAAAATATTTGAAGCCTTAGGGAGAAGAAAATGGAGTAAGATAGATCATCCTATCGGCCTTGAGCACAGATGCAGAGAGAAGATGAGACACTGGCTCTCTAGAGCATGTTCACACTAGTTCAGAGCTAAATTCATAATGTAATGGTCTACCTCTTACCTCTACAACACAACTTCACAAACTGCAGAAGATGAAGGTGAAAAACTGAGAGTAGGAAGAAGTCCAATGGAGTGGGTAAAGTTTCAATTGTCAAGCACGCATTAAATTATCAGTATCAAAAAGGGTTCTGCCTTAAACAGTTTGTCTCAGTGGATAGAGCGTTGGCCTGCAGACTGAAAGGTCCCAGGTTTGATTCCGGTCAAGGGCATGTACCTTGGTTGCGGGCACATCCCCAGTAGGGGGTGTGCAGGAGGCAGCTGATCAATGTTTCTCTCTCATTGATGTTTCTAACTCTCTATCCCTCTCCCTTCCTCTCTGTAAAAAAATCAATAAAATACATATTTTTTAGAAGGGTTCATTTCCGCATCATTTAAATTACATAAGCCATTTGTGAATCTTACAATGAGAAACCAAGACTCAGAAAGTGACATGTGCTATGGGATGAGTCAGACTGAAAGCACAGAAGGAGCAAAACTTTATGTTTAAAGGTATCTCTTCAAAATATTTTCCATAAAAATAAGTATTTAAAAACTCTTTAAAATGCAGCAGAAATCAGCTCACAGAGAAATAAACACGGCATGTGTTTGGTGGTTTCTATAACTCAAAGCAAAGACATGAGACTCCTGGCGTCGCACCAGACAAGGCACCCACCACACGTGCAGAGGGCACAAATCCACACACATTGCACACCCGACTCCTCGACGCAGACGAGGCTGGCTGCTCCGTTTTTTGTCATACTCAGTAAGACTTCTTTTCACTAAGTGCTTAGAGGTGCTCAGTAATACTGTACAATACTTAAGAGTGTGAAACCTTTTCTACAGCATGGGGTCCAGCAAAGCAACTGTCGCCAGACTTACCCAAACCAGATGCTCACGTTCACTGCCACACCTCTTCCCTTGCCTTTCTGTTCCTTTGCTTAATTAACTCTTTTATCCCAATTTTCCTTCTCAATAATGAAATCTCCACCAGTGCTTGCCTGTACTACCTGTAAACACTAAACTAGGTAATAAAGAACATCAACATTCTTTAAGGAACTGCCCATGATAAAGACATTTCTGACTTGGACATATAACCACCATCAGCAAGACATATCAAAAAATTCAAAATTCATTAAGAACAAAAAATGTAAAGAAATAATAATTTATATAGCACTGTTCTAGGTGTCTTAAAATTTTTAGAACTGCAAGGATTAAGGGAGGGTCTGCTCCAGATTCTTAGGCAAATTCGGTCTCTGACTGGATGTGGAGACTCCTATCAGGCCATAGTGTTTCACCATGCTCACACTCACACACACACTCATGATAATCACAACAGTGATAACCACTCACTCAGAATAACCATAGGCACATGGTCACATAACAATATGCATTCTCACACTCTACCCATACTCATACTCAGGCTAACAGAATAACCACACTCACACCCCTACTCACCATCCTCACCCACACTCACGCTTATTGCAACCACACTGATACTCATAATCACCATACTCGCCCTCACAATAACGACACTCACACTCACAGTAACCATATCCACATTCACGATGACCATACTGCCAACTCATACTCAAGTTCATATGCCTGATAACCATACTCATTCACGCCATTCACGCTTGTGATAACCAACTCTCATCATTTCAATTATCAAGCTTCCTCGAGTGCTAACACTTCTCAGAATGCAATTCTCATGGCACGTCCTTTCCTCATCAAAGCAGACTTATTGTGTAAAACCTAGCATGAAAGTGCAGGAAACTGTTAACACTTATTTATGGCTGGGAATCATATTTTAACTGCACAAAATCCTGGATTAGAAAGGAAAAGAGCAACGTGCACGATGACCTCTTACACAAAGAGAAAAGCCGTCTTAACTTTCATTTTTTATGTGTAAATGTAGGGTTCCCGGGCAAGATCTCAAACTTGGAAAAGGATCATTAGGAAGGCACAGCAGAATAGCATGCAGAAATAGTGAGACCCATCATGACTGGAAGCTGAAAATCATTTCAGACTCAGCTAGAGACCCAGAGGAAGCCCATGGGAAGCTTCTGAGTCCTCAAGGTAGGACCATGGTGAGCACAGAAAAGGCCAGGTGGGGCACAGAGAGGGTCCAATGTTGCACTAACCCACCCACCCCTATGAGGGTCCCCACAGCCTCCCAGGCCCCTAAACAGAAGGAAATGACAATAAAGGAAGGCAGGCCCTTCACAGTTCAAAGAAGCTGAGCTGCACTTATATGTCGCAGGTAGAAATTCGTGATTTTCCATTATTTCTGAATTTACTGGAATGAAGCACAGCACAACCAACCTGACACGTCCAGATGTCAGACCTCACCTCCTTGTAGCAGAGAGCAGCTGAGGGCCGGAGGGGAGGTGCGGGTCGCAGACAGCTCAGACTCCATGGCTTCGGGGTCTTCGGAGGCTCCAGGGGCCCCCAGTTGATGGTCGTGTGTGCGGTGCCGTGGTGGGAGGGATGGGGCAGTGTGTGGTAGGCAGGCGTCAGTGGCACCGACTTGCTGTCTGCATGCTTGCTGGATGGGGTGATCGAATGGGTGGGGAGCTACCCAAGGAAAAGAACAAGAAAAGCAAAACAGAGAACATTCACCATCAAAGAAACCTCAATCAAATACACTTTGTTCCGCTAATTTTAAAAAATGCACCCAACGAAATAACCCCCAGATTATCATTTCTCCAAGCAGTTTGACTCTGCGATACCCCAAAGATTCTGCTTCAGGCTGCGGCCTATCCTGGGTTAGGAGGCGGCAGGATGCTGGGGGCCTAAAACCCAGACAACACTCCACCACCACCTTTATTTGCCATGCATTAACATTTGCAAAAAGGTATTTCGTTAGCCAAAACCGGTTTGGCTCAGTGGATAGAGCGTCGGCCTGCGGACTGAAAGGTCCCGGGTTCGATTCCGGCCAAAGGCGTGTACCTGGGTTGTGGGCACAGCCCCAGTAGGAGATGTGCAGGAGGCAGCTGATCGATGTTTCTCTCTCGTCGGTGTTTCTAACTCTCTATCTCTCTCCCTTCCTCTCTGTAAAAAATCAATAAAATATATTTTTTTAAAAAGGTATTTCATTTAATATATACTATATCAGAATTTTACTAGGAGCAAGACTATGGGGGAGGGTAATCCCCCCCAGGCAGCTGTTATTCAGTGCCTGCAATTTAGGAGTGGGCAAAGCTTGGACCTGACCCCAGGTTTTGTTTAACTAAGGAGTGGCACAGCCAGGCCCACCTCTGTTGATAGCAGCTTTTGTGTTACAGAGACCATATTGCCTATAATGCTAAAAATATTTACTACCTGGTTTTTTTATAGGAAAAAATTGCCACTCTCTGGAATAAAACAAATATTTGATTAACTTTAATCAAAACAAAGTTATAGAGATCTAACTTCTCAGAAGGCTTGATCACTGGGGTTTATATTACTGGAAAACCCATCACAGTGACAATTAAATAAGAAAATGTTAAATAAATTAATTCAAAATTAGCCAATGACCCAAAGCAATAAGGCATGCTTAACAGGAGCAAGAGCTGAGTGATTCTGTGATCTGTAAACCTGAGTGAAACCATTATTAGAAAGTTGAACAACCCAGCCTGTGTGGGTCAGTGATTGAGCATCGACCCAGGAACCAAGCAAGAGGTCACAGTTAGATTCCAGATCAGGGCACATGCCCAGGTTACAGGTTTGATCCCCAAAGGGAGGCGTGCAGGAGGCAGCCAATCAATGATGCTCTCTCATCACTGATGTTTCTCTCCCCCCGCCCCCACCCCCGCCGACTCCCTTCCTCTCTGAAATCAGTAAAACTATATTTTTTAGTCCTAGCTGGTTTGGCTCAGTGAATAGAACATTGGCCCGCGGACTGAAGGGTCCCAGGTTCGATTCTGGCCAAGGGCACGTGCCGCGTTGCGGGCTCGATCTCCAGTGGGGGCGTAAAGGAGGCAGTTGATCAATGATTCTCTCTCATCATTGATGTTTCTATCTCTCTCTCCCTCTCCCTTCCTCTCCGAAATCAATAAAAACTATTTTTAAAAAATTCTTTAAAAAAAAGGAAAGAAAGCTGAACTATATTTGAAACACATGTTTAAAATAAGAAAACCCTGCCTCTAGCTGATGCCACCATATTTAAGAACAAACTTTCTGCAGAAACCACGGGCCTGTCCTGGTGTGTGTGTCAGTGCTTGTCATTTGATACACAACTACTATAAAATTTTTTCAAAAAAATAATTCACAAAAGAATAAAATTATGCAAAACATCCCTTCTAGCAATAATATAGTAGTCAGCAATACTTGGTGGTGTTTCTCCTTCCTCAAATAAGTCAAAAGAGGTATGCTTTGTGCTAAAATTAGAACATTATTCAAGCTAGATATGGACAGAACACAGAGAGAACACTCAATTCCCCAAAAAGAAGTTCCCTAAGAAGGCAAATTTCAAAAGCCTGTTTGTGAGGAACAGCGCCATCCACAGAGTGGGGACCTAAAATCCCTGCTGATGGGGCACCTCCCTTGCCACTGGGTGACATGAAAAGGATTATGAGAGGCCAGGGTCCAAATAGAAAAAGCTTTTACCTGAAATGAAATTTTATAAAGCTTAGTTTCAGACTGTTACTAACAATTTGAATGAAAAGGCACTTTCATTTTTCTTTATAAACACACACATACATACATGCCTTTGAAGTAAGTTTAGTACCATGAAAGCTAAGCATCTTTTATATTTTTTATATATTTTATTGATTTTTACAGAGAGGAAGGAAGAAGGATAGAGAGTTAGAAACATCGATCAGCTGCTTCCTCACACTCCCTACTGGGTATGTGCCCAAAACCAAGGTACATGCCCTTGACCGGAATCGAACCTGGGACCCTTGAGTCCGCAGGCCGACGCTCTATCCACCTAGCCAAACCGGTTAGGGCATCTTTAATATTTTTTAAAGTATGGAGTTATAAATGGCAGAGTCATTCAAAATGACATATCAGCTAAAGGAAACGAGCAGTTTTAGCCTCCATACTGTTGAGAGATTTCAAGTAAGATGATACCATGACCAGAATGCTATGCTACAGCCACCCTTCCTGAGCTAAAACTTTAATGCCAAGGATAACGAATGCAGAAGCGAATTACATGGTAGGAAACGTCCTGACAAAGATCATAACAATTTAAGGATGTGAGAGAAACTGACCAACTGGAAATGCTATGTAATCGTAAGTCATTTGTAAAAAGGTGTGCCTGGTTCTTCAATATTGTTTGGTAAAGATGACAAATGATGCAATATCTTAAGCAAAAAAACACCAATAAAGAGAAGTTTTAAAAAATGACACTTTGGTACTGATCTATTTTGAAAGGTTTATGTATCTAAAAAACCAATGAGCTGAGCTGTTGAGCTTTTCTAAGTAGAAGTGGTTTTCTTAAAATCAAAATAATGAGTCAAAAATTACATGTTAATGCCTTCAACATGAATCTGGTCCTTTTCATCATCATAAATACTTATTTTTTGATGAAACGACAGAAATACTTAAACTTCTCAGAAAAAGCACACTCTTCAAGTTTCAGTTGAAAACCCCAGTACCTTACTCTCTCAGGCCCATCTGAGCACGGCAGCAGACTCCTGCCCGAGTGCCACTGACTGTATGTGATGAAGCACAACCTAGGGCTGTTTCACAAGTGTGACCACTGTGAAGCTATTCACTACTCAATGGAAAAAAGCAAATATTTGCAGAGAAGTACAAGGCAAGTATTGTGCATTCTTGATCCAGATATTGATAATACTTTAAATTACTTGACCACTTGCTGACAACTCAACCAAAAGCTGACCCTGGAGTTTAGAGGCAGAAGTATGGGGTCCTTACAGTATGAGACGGCACAGAATGAGGCTTAATGGGGGGATTGCTGACAGATGTGACTTTTGTTTGCTTCTGTAGGTGGTCCACCCATTCATGGAGATCCTGCTGGTTGTTGCATGATACTAATATCCGCTCGATCATGCTCCCTAGAAGAGATGAGAAAAATGGGCTGAAATTGGAAAATTGGTAGAAAGCACACACATGCACATACATACACCCAGAGTATACTTCAACAAAGTTAAACATCAGCCCTCTGAAATAGTCAAGCAAGAATCTGCACACAGATGGTAAGCTGCCTCTCATCACCATGACAGATAGCATCCGCAAGGTTTTTGCCTATCACCTGATATTTCAAATGCATTTCTATGATTTTCACTGTCCTCAAGCTTTGTGATTGTCATTCCTGTCGTTGGTAGCTTTCCCTAAAAAAGAGCCCCCCCCACAAAAAAAAACACAATTAGTGCTTTTCTAGTAAAGAAGGTACGGTTACTAAAGTAAATACTAATAATTTTACAAATGGCAGAGGAACTGCATTTGTAAACCACAAAAGCGGTCTTGTTTGTACCAGATACATGTATAACACAAAAAGCCTCTATCTCAAATAAGTAATCTTAATACTATAATCAACAAACTGAGCCTCAGCAAAAAGGTACAGAGCAGCAAACTAGAACACAAATAAATTCCAACTGGTAAGTTACTCTAAACATAAATGTGAGGACACAAAAACATTACATATTATGATTTAAAAAAACACACACTAGCGTCTATGGTAGCTATTTTAAATGACATGTTTATGAAAAGGAAGCACAGATTTGCCTCATAAAGAAATGCAGAGAAAGTTCCATGTTTGAAGGCAAAATAGGGGAAAACTGGAGCAAGAGGAATTGTACAAGTTATTCTTGATTGTCCACCAGACAGGAAGTCAGCAGCTGTGCTGAGCGCTGCACAAAATGCAGAAAACAGCAGCCAACCTGTCCATTCTGAAAATGGAGGACTTGGGAACTGAAATGGGAAATGCTACCAGAGAGACACCAGAAAAGGACTGCAAATAGCCAGGCAGGACATTGGTCCTGTCCAAAACATCACTGAGACATTTGGTTCACACCAAAAGGTGCTTAAAACTTGGTCCTGACAAAAAAAACATCCACCCTTAAGACATCCCTGGTTTCAAACAGCACACACCACTTATTTTCACTTTTGGTTTACAGGATTAATACACAAGAAGTTACCATGTCTTCTTGATCCAATGATTGTGTTGTGGCTGTATGGTCAATGACCACCTTTCTTGCCTCGGTAGCCTAGCCTGTCATAGCACATGGAGTTAGGTACACGGACTAGTGTAGACCAAACATCTTCACGGATATACTAATGTACCTGGTGATCAACCAAGTCTTTAGGAAAAGTCTAACAGCGTTTGGGCCAAGCCACCTGTGGAGGACTCTCTCAGCACCTCCGAAAGTAGTAGTTCTCAGCAAGGTACAGGGGAAGGAAGGGCTGCCCTGCGGAGGACACCGGCAAAGTCACAGAGATGTGGGTGCTCCCGATACATAGAGGGAAGCAGGTCAGAAGTGCTGCTGAACATCCTCCTACAGCTCATGGAACTAGAACGATCCAGTCCACCGAGAAAGCCTGTCCTGGCGTTTGGTGGTGAAACATTAGCCAGTACTTGGTCCTTCTAGGGTCGGATGAATTTGAAAAATGCTGTATACTGTGCACTCCTTTCCAAGATTCATAATGCACACAAGTGTATTCGTAGCTTTGAGAAGTCCTACAGAAATAAAGCTGTGTGACTGCTTTTAACCTAGTAAATCAACACCAAGGGATAGAATGTTCCGGTTACTGCTAGATCTAATGCTTTTTAATGTCCGTCAAAACCAGATATAAATATTCACAATACATAGGTCACAGCACTCAGAGAGCAACGCCTCACAGGAAACCGTGCAGAGTGGGAAAACAGGTCATACACGTGGTCTGACCTCCCGTGGCGCATCAATGCCAACATCCAGAGCAAACTCACCAGCCTGGTCATCCATAGGGGCCTGGCCTGACCCAAAGGGCAACCTCTGCTTCCTCAGGTCAGAGGAGGGCCCCATCTCAGTCTCTTAAGATATGAAACATGAAGCCAGAGAGTGCTGACAATACAGGACTCTGGTTTATGTTTATCAGGGTCATTTAACAAAGCAGGAGCTGCCAGTTTGAGGGAACCCAAGTAGCTGCTATATCTGAACATCTGCTCAGAAACAGACTTACAAATCAAGAGGTATTATTTTTCTGGGTTTGTCCATATATATTTGCTTTATCAACTTTAAAGTGCTCCTTTTGGAATAACTGTGTGATGACAACTCTCTGGATGGCAGATAAAGCGTTCTGGAGATACAAACAAGCTGTAGACAGTTTTGACTGAGGATTCACCAATGTTCTTGTTGCGGACAATATGAAACAACCCACTATTCTGAAGAAATGCAACTCAGAGGAAACAAAGTGGTGGTTCTGCTGAAGCAGTATCTGGTGACTGGCCAGGCCTTTACATACTGATGGGAAAGGCATTAGCTTCTCTAACTACACAGAAAAAAGGTAATACAACCTTTCTAGAAGCACCTATTAGACATACAGGGAAAATATAATCTGCTCAATACCAGCATTGTAAATTACAGTCGGACCTCCCTATCCATTGGTTTTACATCCACAGATTCAATCAACTGCAGATCAAAAACAGTATTTTCTACCCATGACTAGGAACCAGAGGATGGGGAGGGCCGACTGTAAGCACTGCTCCATGCCATTTTATATGAGACTTGAGTAGCATCCATGGATTTTGGTATCTGAGAGGGAGTCCTGGAACCAGTCCCTTGCAGAAACCAATGGATGACTATGTAAAAAAAACAACCACCAAAAAAACAAAAAAGAAAAAACCAGAAAAGATCTGCCCTGTGTTTTCATTTAAATCAGCTCCCATATCTTCTCAAAGAAAATCAGTAAAATTATAGAACACTAGTATAAAGAGGATAAGTGATCATTTACTACTACTTATAACACCTGACATCTGCCAATGCCTCTTACAATGCTACACTGCTTATGAAGCGTCTCAGTCTGAAGCCCAGCCCAACCCACAGTGGCACCTATGATGGCACACCTACGTTGTGCCAATGGCCAGGAAAGAAGTGGCAACTGCAAATATGATTTCAGGGGGTGGCACAACTTACCCTGCACCTCAGGATCTGTGCCCTTAGGAGATAGTTCTGTAAGTTTCATTTGTTCCCTTCTTTTTTCGCTTAGGATTAATACCAGGATGTTTGTACAGTGACATCAAAATACACAGACAGGAGATGTATGTACATATTTGAATGTATAAGACTATACACATAACACTACACTCAACGCATAAATAGGGATAGCTACTATTTAATGAAAATATTCAAAATATGCCTGGAAATGATTCTCAGACACACAATAAAAATAAATTTAAAATGTGTTTTACCTGATAGATAAAACCACTCATCCTGGGACTGGCAGACAACATTAGCAAAATATTTGGGAAGAGTAGAAGATATCTTTCATTCTTTTCCTAAAGTAAAAGAACAAATAAATCCAAAAACATGTAATTACAGATGTGAAATCAAATATTTAAACTAAATCTTCTGAAACATTGCATTATATTTTCCATTTAGGTATTTCTACCAAATTATATTAGCTATATTAAATGGAAACAAAATTAGAATGAATTATTAGACTCACAAGTGGCGTATGTAACATCTTTTTTAAAAATTTGGTTAAGGGATCTAGCACCGCCATTAACTCTTCTTATAATTAATCTAAAATTTTATTTTTGTGCCCTAACCGGTTTGGCTCAGTGGATAGAGCGTCGGCCTGCGGACTGAAAGGTCCCAGGTTCGATTCCGGCCAAGGGCATGTACCTTGGTTACGGGCACATCCTCAGTAGGAGGTGTGCAGGAGGCAGCTGATCGATATTTCTCTCCCATCGATGTTTTTAACTCTCTATCCCTCTCCCTTCCTCTCTGTAAAAAATCAATAAAATATATTTTTAAAAAATTTTATTTTTGTGATCGAGGAAAAAACAACAAAAGAACTTGTAAAATTTTAGTGGAAGGAGGGGAAATAGGTGGACCTTTCATGCTAAAAAGTGGGTAAAATAAAACGTTAAAATCAATCTTGGTCTATTAATAATTCCTGGCACTTCCCTATAACTCCTGATATATCAATTTAATGTTGTTCGCATCCATCCCATAAACTTAATCTAGTGTACACGAAAGGCTTAAAAGCATTATGTGTTAGAAATCATTCACTTCCATAAGGTAAGTAAAGCCCCAGAGACCACAACTAAAGGACAAAAATTCCCAGAACCTAAAAGGAGACACAGAAGGAACATGCAGATAGCCTTTGTCACAAGTTGCCATTTAACCACTGCCCACAAAAGCAAAATGATACTAGGAAGCCATGTCTCCAAGTGGACTTCAGAACACCAGCCACATGCAAAGTGCCTTGAAAAAGACCTTCTATACTCTAAAAAAGTTGTTGAAAAATACTTATTATATTCTCTCCTTTTTCTATTTCCATTTTTGGTAATCCTCACAGGAGGATGTTTTTTCCATTGATTTTTACAGAAAGTGGGAGGGAGGGAGGGAAACAGAGATATTATTATCTTTTCAGTCATCATTATAACTTTAAATCTTTTTTTTGAGTGAATGTTTTCTAGATCTAACATTATAAAGAAAACACTAAGAAATGTTTCTATAGATTTTTTAAATAAAATTTAAAAGTGCATAATTTAAAAAAAGAATTAAGATTTGGGTTGTTTTCTTTAATCACTGTAGTCTATTAGAAAGTCATGATTTCTTATGATACCCAAATTAACAACTAGTGAGCTGATATCATTTTTTAATTTCATAGGCAGGAAGGAATGTGCATTGTGAGTACAAGTTTCACTTTTCTTACTGCCCTAAAAATGTCATGTTTGAAATGGGTAGTGAGCATATTTTGATCATGTTGATAATTTTTTATAAAGGTAAAATAGAATTCATAAAGAGGTACTAGCTTAGTGGCCCAATGAAGATGTAACTTGTGAATACTGAAACACAAACTGCTCAAATTTCATTGTGTGGGGATAGCACAAGGATCTGGTTTCATCTCTCACTTAAACCAAACCTGTAAGATAACTGTGATTCCCATAAGCAAATGTCAATTAGTATTAGATAATAGAACAGTATAATGATCTAACCACGGAAAACGGTAGATTTCCTGGAATGGCAGTGTTGGTAAGAAGCCCATGGCCAGAAGCCCATACTTCTCTGTGGCAGACATTTGCCAAACTGGACTACTAACGAGGGACCTAAAATCCTCTCCTGACACCATCTCTTAGTTGACACTGATATAGACTTTGATCATAACTGCTCTTGGCTGCATCTTAACTGGCCAAGTAGTCCACAGCTAGCTAAGCCTTGCTAACATACCGGTAACGACTTTTATATTTGGCAAGGACAAAAAGTAGACAAATTATAAGCTAGGAGTCCTATTAAAATGTTGTCATCATTTGGTAGTCCTTTAAAATCTTGTATTACACAATCATCAAAACATATCTTGACTGTCACTAAGAAAACTTAAAAAGCATTTATAAAACATTTAATGCAAATTATGTTCAGCTCTTAATTTTTATCCAAGACTTTTTAATGGTTTCAGGGAAAACAACCGAGAAACTAGAATAAGAACAAAGTCCAACAGCACATGGCTGGTGTCCCTTCCATGGCATGTGTTTCTTCCACTGCTGTTACCATCCACTCTGCACACTTGCATGACAGTACCTCACTTCCGGCACACTGAATCATGACCTGGGACATGTAAATGACGTTGCCCAGGGTCTTAATGTCATCTCCCTCCCAGCTCCGGATGGCTTCCGTCAGGATCTGCAACTCCAGCTCTTTCCTTTTCCGTACATCTTGACACTGGGCCTGGAAAACATAGTAAAACACTATTAAAAGAGACAAACTTCCAGAATTGTAAATTTTGGCCATACTGCTTTGTATCTTAATTCTTCTTAAGACACATAATGTGTTTAATTCACAAGCGTGGAATCAAGCCCAGAGAGGCAAACCTTTGAAATAAGAAACACTGTTTTAGAAAAATATAGCATATTTTGCCACTTATGGAAGAAAAAAATCCAGACTGGACAAGAAAAATATTTTCGGATTTTATTAATATCTGCCAATATAGAAGACTAAGAGGGGGAAAAAGATAAGTAGCATTTATGCTATAAGGTGTGTATCTCAGAAACACAGTCAATCAGACAGCAGACAAAAAATAAAATGGAACCACCAGTATTCCATTTCATACTCTATCACTAAAGACACTGACTGGATGAAGGCTAAAACATGTGTAAGTTTTTTTCAGGTAGCTAATGCATCAAATATGTGGAGCCTTTAAAAAATTTTAACAATTATTATTTCATTGTTCTAGTCTCCAAAGTCTAGTAAATAATAAAGCATGAGAACTTACTAGTCATGGAATAACTACTATGTATGCTCATTTTTATTTCACCAGAGTAAACCTTAATTATACTTCACAGGTAATTTTTTTTATCATCTAACTTTTTCAGCTGATAAACAGTTTCTCTACATTCATTTGCCATAATACTATGTAAGAAAAAACACTCCATAATATGCTTAATCACTTACTGAAAGGTTTTTGAAGGCAGTCATGGATTTTTGAATATCTTGTCTATCCGGATGATAATCCTTGAGTAAAAGAACACACGATTAGCTTTTATAATGAAAACCTTTTTCTTAAAAAGACATTCTCTATAAACTCTACTGAATCTCCCAATACTTTTCAACCTGTAATATGTCCTATACGTCCTATTTTTCCCAGCATTAAAGTGCCGCCTCTTATTCTTTAAGGGAATCATGAAGCCAGTGGCCTTAGGGGAAACAATCATTCGAAGAGAGAAGCCAAGAGCTGGAGCTGGAGTCAGGAGAGCAACATCTGCTGTGGTGAGCGCAGGCAGCACACACCACACCCACTCCTAACACTCGGCTCTGCTGCCTTGGCAGCAGGCGAGCAGTTGTGGAGAAGACCAACAGCCTGCCCTTGACAGGAAAAGCTCAGCAAACCCTAGCCAATAGTTCACAAACCCAAACTTCTGCAAGGCTCACAGCCTGTTTTTCAGAAATAAGACAAATACTTATCTTTAATTAAATGATGCTTTTATATTATATAACTCCACAACTCATGCACTTAATAATTATAGCTAAATGTTCCTGCTAGGACTCTTCAATGCTATTAGCATTTTCTACCTTTCGAAACTTTTTCTATCAGCAGCAGTGGGTGAAAAAGGAGATAATGGAGCTGGGATAAGGAGAAAAAAACTAATACTTAAAAAAATCATTTGGAAAACCCACTAAATTAAAAAACCTTGGTAAACTCTTTTTGTTGATTCCAAAGTAAATCATTAATAATTTCTCTTACAGTGGCTAATGGACTCCAGGGACAGACATGTGATAAGCAGTACCTCCATGTGTCTCTCGAGCTCCTTGAGCAGAGTGGGGTACTTATCCAGGCGCATGAATGGTTTGCTGAGGCCAGTGGTCAACACAAGAATCCCCGGACTGTTGGCACCTTTCATCTCCATGAACTCTCCCAACTCCTCACTAAGCAACAAGCCGCCAGCAATGAAAGAATAAGACACTGCTGTTAAGAGTTCACCATAGTGACGTTCCCTTATCCCCACTAGCAAAAATATAACAGCAATACCATTTATATTGTCAAAATTATAGCTTTTCTAACCAAACATGTGCTGGTTATTTCAAAACACCAAAGGAAACCCCAGAAGGTTCATGTTACGTCTCTCATTATGAGTAAAAACAATTGTGCATAATATAGAATACATGTAGTCACCTATACAATTCTACTCAAGAAAGGTCATTTCAGCAAGCCAATTTCATACAGAAGGGTCAAATGTGTGTAGTCTTAGAGCTCAAGTAGATTCCAATTATATGGGAACTTCAAAATGGTAAAAAATGTAAGAGGAGAAAAATGCTTCAAAACTCTAATAACCTGAATCAGAGCGTTAACACTCCAGACGTTTATCAGTCCACCCAACATCCCCTGAACATCGACTGCAACCTAAAGCACTTGTGAGAGCAACAGTGTTTCCTTTAGAGTGCACAATGTGGCACAATAAAATACTTAATATTTATTTAAGTTTTAAAATTTCAAAGTATTTCCACATCAATATTTCATCAAATCCGTACATTATCAAATAAAGTTGTCCCCATTTAGTGTTGAGAAAACTGACTATATATATTCAGAAATCTAAAAAGCTTAAAAAGAAGTTTGTAATATTTTACTACTTTTTCACCCTCAACTTCACTATTATTCGTGTGCCTTTTACAACAAACAATGCCCTCCTGAACCCTGTAGTATCATGCATATACACTGTTTGCCCTGAATATCCAATTCAGCAGCCCTAGGTTTAGAATGACCCAGGATGGCCAGGAGTGCAATAGGAGTCAACCTCTGTCACTGACACATTTATGACATATCAGTGGCTGAAACTCTGCGTTTCTGTCTCTCCAGTGCAGGACAAATGATGTTTAGGATCCATGTGAGGACCTGGATCTGTGTTCCTCACTGCTGCTGCACATGTCATTCCAGACATGGGAAACTGAGGGATAGACAGGCTGGGAGAAAAGAGGCACCAGGTCAGGTCACCCACTGGGAAGAGAAGAGAGTGAACTCTGAGGCTCCATGTCACCTATCAGGAAGAGCATTATAAATGAAGCCATAAAATAAGATGCTAAAGAATAACTGAACACATCCGTCCTCAATGTAGGTTACCTGAATCTGAGCACAGGGACCAGCTGCTGCCTCACTTCCTCCATCCCTCCGCCCACCAAGGTCTAATTGGCCCCCTGCCCAAACTTCTTAGGACCAGCAGCCACTCCAAGGGCTCCTTACAAAATTTAAGATAAACATTTGAAAATGTCAGCTCAAAAGTGGTGAATATAACACTTTCCTATGGTTCAACCTAAAAGGATTTCATTGAGAGAAGGTGTGAGAGCAAATGTTGGTGTTGGTACTCCCCACCTCTTATCCCATCCTCAACTGACCACAGTGATGCATCTACAGGAGAAATCATCTTACTTAACTAAACCAACTTAGAAATATAAGGTTTCAAATATCAGCTTGAAAACAAATTAATTAATCCCTAGGAAATTAGCCTTACTTTGCTTAAGCATATAAGACCTCTTTAGAAGACTACTGCTATCGAAATTCAAGTTTGTGACAACTTGGGGGACCTGGTTAAGTAAGCAAGGTACATTGCATTTAAAATCAGAGTGCAGCCCAGTCGGTGCGGCTCAGTGGTTGAGCGTCGACCTATGAACCAGGAGGTCACGGTTCCATTCCCAGTCAGGGCACATGCCAGGGTTGCAGGCTCGATCCCCAGTGTGGGGTGTGCAGGAGGCAGCCAATCAATGATTCTCTTTCATCATTGATGTTTCCACTTCCCCCTCTCTCTCCTTTCCTCTCTGAAATCAATAAAAATATGTTAATAAATAAATATATAAAATCAGAGTGTATTCCTGGACTGCATAAAAAAATACAGTAATAATGTTAATAGTGCCAACTATCTATCTACTGATTTATCTACACATACATATTTTTAATATCAACTTTTTAAATAAACACATATACCATTTAGAAAATATTATAAAAATCAAAGCAAACTACAAAAAAGTGAAAATATAATCCTAGCTATAAAAACACATAAAATAAACATTTTCTCATTTCTGTAAGAAATAAGGCTCATGATGATGTCCTTCCAGTTAAGACAGCCATCATGGTTACGCAATTTAAAATGTTACCATAGAAGCTGTCAAACTCCTTCTAGGGCTGTGTGCATGCGCCTGCTTTCATAACCAACACACAATTCCATATCTCTGTGTATATAACTCTGTGCTTTCTAAGAATGGTTTTCTCAGGAAAAACACAGGGCTGGGATTACTGAAACCAGGAATAGTGATATTTCAGAACCTTGTTGTGATTAGTCTAGTGTTCATCCCAGAGGTTATGGTGATTTAAAAGCTATGAGCAATATCCTGGAGTACCTGTTTGCATAGTTTTATCATTTTGCCTTTTCCCACAAGAGATAGGCGGGTAAGTGAAGAGTGCCCCAAGACTGGCTTCAACCTGCTGCCTTCCTCCCACCTTCCCCAACCCTCTGCTGAGCTCAGGCAGAAGTGAGAGCTGCAGAAAGAACAGTCAGGAAAAAGGACGGAGAGAAGGGAGTGACACTATGGGTCCAGCATTCTGTGCTGGGCATCAGAGCAAATGCTTCTGTACATGACTCCCATAAGCATCACTCTGGGCCTGTGCCACAAGGATTATTATGCATGTTTACAGATGAGGACTCCCAGCAAGACTGCCTCTGTTCTCACTGCTAGCAGGACAGCTGAACCCGAGAGGTTCACACTGTGTCTGGTCTGGCCCCTCTGACCATACTATACTGGTTTGTCTTTCACACTCACGTGCCCCACCTCCCCACACACACACTCCTTACTCAGAAATGCTCCTCTTCAAATTACTCACTCTGTCAACCCCTAAAGTAGTGATGGCGAACCTATGACACACGTGTCAGAGGTGACACGCGAACTCATTTTTTTGGTTGATTTTTCTTTGTTAAATGGCATTTAAATATATAAAATAAATATCAAAAATAGAAGTCCTTGTTTTACTATGGTTGCAAATATCAAAAATGTCTATATATGACATGGCATCAGAGTTAAGTTAGGGTTTTTTAAAACGCTGACACACCGAGCTCAAAAGGTTCGCCATCACTGGCCTAAAACATGAGTAAAATGATGAATTTAAGAAAGAGCAATTTATATTTTATATCCATTTCTCTAAGAATTGAACAACTGATCAAGCATAAAACTAAAACTTTATGATACTAGAAGTATATTTCCCCTCCTTTAAATACAATCCATGCAGGGCCTTACACTACAGGAAAATCACAGAAAAGTCTATTTATGTCACACTTTTGATATTTAAGGATTATATTTTATATTTTATAACTATTGCTATAGCAGAGAAATATAAATAAAACTAAGTAAGTTATCCTTATCACCCCTCACCCCTGTAAAAAAAACTCTACAACTTAAAATGTAAGTGAACTTTTGCAAGCAAAAGTAACATCTTTTAATATACATATGACATTTTTATAATGCCAGAACATATGCAGTTAAGAAAAGAAACAGAACTTTATAAATCAATGGTTCATTTTTTAATTTAGTACAATAAAATAAAACAGTTGGTTACAGCTATTTTGACAAAACAATGGCTCTTTCTACTGATGTGAGCAATCCTTATACAGTGAATCTCCTCTGTATTTACTGAAATGACACTGTGGGCTGCAAGAAGGCAACAAAAGGAACACAAATAAGGAGAACTATATTGTAGCCAAGCAAAAAGTAACAATTAAAGTGCTGGGGGAAAACAAAACTCATTTTACAGACTAAATTACGAAACCTATAATTCATTCAAAATAGGCATCCATGAATATATGATGTTTACTATCATATGATAATGCAAAAGATACATATCAGCTATAATTCTAGAATTGGTGGTTGTGTGAATGTATTCACAAATTCACACTCAGAATTTAAATTAACCCAATAAGACTGAAAATAAGATTTGAAAATTTCAAAATACTACACTTAATCCTTAAAAAACATATTTAGGCATAAACAAAGGAAAGAGGTTACAAGTTAAGATTCAGAATGAAAAGTGGTGAACCCTGACAGAAGCTACTAGCCAACTGCGATCCTCATCTCCATTCATGGACTTACGCTTCAGAAGTGGGGTCTGACCTGTGAAGGGAGTGGGGACTCTGGCTGCTCAGGGACCTCAGGAGGGCACACAGGTAGTGCATCCTGCCGCGTCCTCTCCGAGGCTCACTCGGCCAGAGCGTGACTTCTCCACTCACCTCCCAACTCTGGGACAAGCTACACGGAGGAAGCACAGTTTCCCCACTCAGAAACTTACTATTCTTTCCCTGTTATTTTGGGGAAATGCTACACTTACATTTTAGCTATGACACAGTCATTAAAGTAATAGTACAGAAGAGAGATAAACAGCACATACTCGCAGGCATTTCCTTGGAAGTGTTATTTTAGGAAACTTTAACAGTCTGAATTCGCTTTAAATGTCATCCTCAGGGCAGATCCTCACTTTAATGAGAAAAATATTTAGTGAGAATCTTTTCATAAAATTATTCACTCCCATCAAACTTCCAACCCAATTTTAGAGCATTCCCCCCAAAAAAGAAGGACGGAGAGCAAAGATAAAAGAAGATCGTAATTTTGCCTAGCATTCTCTTTGCTTTCTATTTATCTCCCCTATGACTGCATCAATAATTCCTTTTAAACTTTTCAGAAACACAATGTAATCCTTGCATTTCAAGTCTGTAGAAATTTCATTTAATTCCCAGGAGTAGACACCAAGAGCATAACTGAATGCATGTTTCGTGGTTTCAGAAAGGTGTGTGCTAACATAGCTCACCCTCCTGGAAAGGTGAGGGAGGGCGAAGTATTGGGTAGGGGTTGGGGGTCCTTTGGGTTTTTTTGTTTCTGTTGGACACTATATACCCTAATCTCCCTTCTGTTCATCAACATGTCAAAGACTGCTGCTTCATTTCAGGGCATTTATCATGTTCACTCACTTCCGATCAGTTTATACATGTTTTTTGCTTAATGCTTACAATAGCCCTATGAAATAGACATTTTTATAGATGTGAGGTGCCCTGGGACCACGAGCTTAAAAGGATTCAAAAAAGAAACCATAAACATTTTTTAAAACACTTATTAATAAAAATCTGTGCCTCTTGTGCTAACATCTGCTAACGACTTCAACATTCCTCAGTCTTCTTACAATTCTCAGGAAACAGACCAGCCTTGTCTTAACAACCTAGCAGAAAATCTGTACATTCTGTTTCACGTGTTTAATTTTGTTTCAGGTTGCTGATTGTCTCCAATTTAATGTTAAATATACCTATTAAACCCAGCCCTCATTTTAAATGAGATAATTATCTTTTACAGAAAATCTGTCTCATGCACTTCCAGTTTTATGGCCTAAAAGAAAACTGATTTGGTACCCTGATCTAGCTTATAGCTACATTCCAGAATACTTACCAGCAGCTTTAAGTCATTGTCCAAAGAGCTTTAGTCTAGACTGAAGGGGAAACATTTAAAAATAACCTTTCCATTATACAAATTCTAATATGCATTTCAAAGACGTCTTACCAGTACTTTTTCAGGCACTAATTTCAAGGGGTAATTAACATTTTAATTGTTGAATAATCAAGTGAATATTAGTATTTTGGGGGGTACCCCAAGAAGTCCTTTCCTTTCAGGTCTAAGTGAACGCACCTGTGCTCTGTGAGAACATTCACGGCAGATGGGTGATTGGCACAATATGAAAGGTACAAAGCTTTCATTTGTGGCATCAGATTTAAAAAGCAGCCTCCAACTCTCTGCTGAGCTTCAGGCAACCTGGAGACATGCAACACAAAGGAAATAATCCTAAATTTTATAGACAGAAGGAAAATTGCTAAGTAACAAACAGATTATTTTGAGCAAGAAAAACCTCCTTGTGTACCACCTCTATGGAAACAAAATATCCAAATCCAAGAATATTTCTGTTTAAAGCAGGCATATAGCAGGGAGAAGTGCTTACCTTGAAAGCTGCTCTGCTACGAAACAGTGAACTAAACCCCAACCTTTCCTCCATCCAGATGCCAGGACCTGTGCATAGCAGAGCTACAAACCCCCAAGTCCAGGCTTCTTTGGGTCGTGAGGAAAATACTAGTAGATGTCACGAAGCCTCACATTTTGCATGAAACAAGGAAGAATTATAAAATGTGGCTATTTGGTTAGTACGGTTTTCTACCAAAGTAGCATCAAGATATGCGCACACATAAAAAATACAAAAGCCACCTTTTTCTTCAGGTGAAGACTGGACATTGAGCACATCTATCAACCGCTCTCCTTCCCAAATCCACACTACATGATGGTTGATGTTAGAAGGCATCAACTCACAAGAACAAAAGGAACTGAAACTTTGGAAAAACCAACTTTGGAAGCTGAAAAGCATATGATGAGCAGTCATAACTGGGCAGGCAAATCCAACTCCAAGATCAAACCGGGCCCCCTGTAATCGGGCTGCCCTTCAGCGGTGGGGCCACAAACAGCTGGGTAAAGGTCTGTGAGGCAGCAAGACACTTATCTTTGTGGACCAGAAGGTCACTGGTTGAGCATACGAGCAGGAATCCTTAGAAAAAAGGGACCATGAAAGGACACTGACCAACCATCCTCACCCCAGTCTCCTTTGTCACCAGAACCCCAAAGCACAGACAGAAAGGATTGCAAACTTCAAAGCAGGAAACCAAAAACGCCTTCTCTTCTCCTGAGAGAATCAGACCCAGAGAAAAATCGAGCATAAAATAGTAACAGCAGGGATTCTCCAACAAAACAGTCAACAAGTTATAACCCATGGTCAGCACTTCCACTCAAGAGTTTAGGGCACCAATCTTCATTATAAGAAGACACAGAAATATGACCAAATACTTTTGAAAAAAAAATCTAACAACAACAAAGGACAAAAGGTGGGAATCTATGAAAAAAGGGGGGGGGGGGAGGAAAGGGACATTATAGTTACTCTGCAGGGAGCAGAAAAATATTCAAAAGAATGTAATTAATCCTGAAAGAAATAACAAAAGATCTATAAAAAAAGGAAAAGCATGCTTTTGTGGATGAGAGGGAAAAAAGGAGGGGAGGAGGGTTTCCTATGGAAAGTAACTTCACAGGGTGATTTGATTATAAATTCCTAACTAGGCAGGTCATGGTGGGCAGTCATGCCCCAAGCCTCTATCTTTTTAGTAATGTTTCATCTTTTCTTCTTTAAAATATGTTTTTATTGATTTCTGAAGAGAGAAAGGAAGGGAGAGGGATAGAGAGAAACATCATCGATAAGCTGCCTCCTGCACGCCCAATACTGGGGATCAAGCCCACAACCCAGGCATGTGCTCTGACCGGGAATTGAACTGGTGACCTCTTGGTTCATGAGTCAACGCTCAACCACTGAGACACACAGGCCAGGCTCATCTTTTCTTAACTATCCTGTAATCTATCCCACCTTGCTTTCTCCCATTTCCATGTAATCTTCCTTAGCTCCTCCTTAATTTCAAATGCACAAAAAGAAACTGCAAATTGTTATCTCAGTCTGTTGACAGGTGTGTCCTCAGTGTGGCCCAAATAAATTTTTATAAAAATCCTCTACAGGTTTGGACGTTCTTACACTGATACCTTGAAAATAAGAACATTCAGGACAAAAGCAAAGGAGCATTTGAAAATTAAAATGGAAGAGCAATTGAGAAAGACAAAAGAAATCTGGAAAATGAAGCTCTGAAATCTCCCACATTAATTGGAAAGAGAAGATTAAAAGACCAGGACAAGCAGTTCCACGTTAGGATAAAAATTCCAGATACAGAAAACAAACAAAATAAACAGAAGTAAATCAAAGAAATGATCATAAAAGTCAGCAGACTAAAAGACATGAATCTCCAATTGGAAAGAACCCAAAGTGCCAGCAGGAGGGATGCAAAATGACACAAACCCAACATATGCATCAGCATTGAAGTTCAGGATTCTAGAAACAAAGACACTAAAGACTTTGAGGGGAAAACACAAGTTTCAAACAAAAGAATCAGGAATTAGAATGGCCAGGGACTTTTCAACAACACTGAACCTTAAACAGTGGATGGAAACAATTTCCAACAATTCTACCTCCATGCATCATAATTAATATGAACATGAACTGTCTCTATGCTCTCTTTCCTCAGGACAGTCTTAGCAAATGAGAGACTGCAGCAACAAGGCAGGAAGACACCAGTGTCCAACACAGAGGAGGTGAAAGGCAGCAGGATGATAATCAAGGGAGACTCTGAGACCAGCCAGCATGACTAGAGGTGAAAACCCAAAGGCTCCAGAGTGACTTCTACAATATAACATTAATAAGTACCTAGTGTACATATGAATATATTGAAAGAAATGAACATAAGCCATGAATAAATTAGTGGCAGATATAGAAAAAAGCAAGCAGACAAAAAATGAAGGCAATTATCACCATTACTATTATGCGAAAAAGGCACAGTAATTCCATCAACAGCATTCACATAAGGCAATAACCAGGCTTATTGAGGTTTTATTGTTTAGTCCATTTATCCTTATCTGAAGTCAATGTAAACTAGCATCTGAACGGCTAGCAGACTCTTTTCCAAGTGTGAACTCCTAAGTGGGGGTTTGAATAGCCTTCAGGAATTAGCCACAGCTCTATCTGTAATATAAATAATCACTTACCTAACAAACCAACTTCGACTATTTATTCAGACACTGGGAACAGATTAAAAAGGTAAGCAATCTTCTCTACCTTAAAAGTGACTGCAATCTTTTTGGGTAAAATGAAACACATACAAAAATTAAAGAAATGTAAGACAGCCGATGATGCCTCAATTTTATGACACAAACTGCTGCCAGCCCACAGAGGAGGAAAGCACACACCCTCCAGGAGAAGGCACAAAGGCCAGCCAGCATCTTTTCCAAATCACCCAAAGACCAGTCATCACACACAGCAAGGATGCTGCACCAGAAGATACATCAGACCACCTGCTTTCTACCAGGATCCAGACACCTGAGACACACCTGTTTTCAAACTACTACATACTGGCATTTGAGCAGGTGATGTTCATACTCAGAAACAAAGTGAAATAGTAGATCCTGGCTTCTAGAATGGAGAGCTCTAGCAGGGAACCCCAACTGCTGAGCCGAGGGGGTTGAAGGTAACTGCAATGATAGGATGACAAAGTTTTATGAACAAGAGAAGAACATTGTTAGAGATGTGCACATGAAAATGATTAAACTATTAAGACTTCATTGCTCAGTGCTGTGCCATATACTGTTATGATTTCACTTCCAACCTGATCCAACACCACAGCCGTTGATACACTCAAAGGAGAACGTACCTATAATCTAAGCCAATGGATTTCATTTCTTATATTTCATCAATTAAAATTAAGTTAGTATGGTTTACATATGAACAATTACTTCATTGTACAAGGTTTTCTTTCTTTGGCCCCACTGAGCCTGGCCCTAAAGTTTTATTACCTCACTCAACCTGATTTTGCCAGAATTCACTATACTCACCACCACCTTTTCTCCCCTGGCATGCTGCTAATAATGTGGTAGACCCCCTTGGAGGAGGAACAAGAGGGCCAGAGAATAGCCTCATTCAACTCCTATAAAAGACCTTGCATGACCACTCCCTTAAGCATTAAGCCCCAAGGATAATGAGGTTCTGACTGCATCAAATAATCTTAGGAACAAAGTCTGAGGTCTGTTGACCACAGAGACAGTTTTCAGCTCCAGGCCCAGGAAAGCAGCAAATCAGAGGAAGCAACACCATGGCTGACATGAGGACCAGCTGCAAGAACTAATGATCCCTAGGTCCAACCAATCAGTAGAGATCATGACACTGAAAGAACATACCTGGAAAGCTGATGAATATTCTACTGCGATCCTCTCAAGACCTCCCCTAAAATCCCTGTCTTTGGAAAATAGCTAAAACCCCTTAAAACGAAGGACCCAGTGCAAGCTCTCCCTCTCTCTTGAGCAGGCCCATACCTTCCCCACTCCCCTTTGTTCCCTCAAAGCACATACCTTTTCTTTCTTTCCCCTAAGCTCCGTTCTTTTGCCACTGTAACCTGTTTCCTGAGTCCATGCAGCCCAGTGGCTCACTTCTTCCTCCTCTGCGACTTTCTATAACTCGTTTGAGTTCTTGGCTCTGAATTCTTTCTTAGTCAAACTCAAGGACCAAGGTATAACATCCGGTGCTATTCACCATTAACCCTCCTCTGCCACCTGAACTTCCGTTTTTAAATCTATGCTGTGAGGATAGTAATGTTTGCCCTATTTCACAAGGCTTACATGAGGCTCGCAAGAGGTATTGCCAAATGTACTGCATAAATATTAATTTATATAGTCTACATTACCTATGTCAGTGGGAAGGAGAAGCAAACATTTACTTCCATTTTGTACACAACAGGGCTGGCCTCTTGCAAAAAACCCACACTGCTGCCAAATAACCTTCATTTACCAAAGGGAATACTACCCTAGTTATGATCATGCAAGTAATGTAATTTTATGTAAACCAAAAATGTTGCAAGCAATTACAACAAAAAATATCAATTTCTGTTTGAGAGCCAGGATTTGGTTACACTGACATTCAGTTTTCCTTGCCACACCTTCCAATATGAAGTTCCTCTATGAAACCTTGAAGCCAAAGTTGAGAGAGCAAACCTACTTTCAGCATGGCAAACTGTCATCAATTTAAAGAGCTCCTGGCACCAAGGGCAGACCTCTTCCAAGAATGAGAAAGACACATACAAAAAGCTGGAAGGAAAACAAGAGACCAACCAAGAGAAAAAGTTTTCTGGTCCTTCCGGTGGCTACAAAAATAAAGATAATGCAAAAATAAAATGTGTTAGCTTTCTTTATCAGCCCACAAACAAATAAGCATAAATATCATCTGGTGGATTAAAATCTCAAAACTTTTCATGTGCATTATGACTTTAAGTCATCCAACACCCAGCAGGCATTAATAAATATCCTTTTAATGCCTCATGTTAACAATGAAATAAAATAGTCACACAGAAAAAAATCTCATGTCTGATCATCCAGAACACACCTGTCCCCTACCCCCGAAAAACTAGTATCTTGGAAAAGTGACAAAACCAAGCCTTTAATACCTCCAAACATCACATTATGCATGTAGTGCTTTACAATTTCTCAGCTTCCTGATGGCCAGAAACAACACATGCTGGAAGAAGACACTCAGAAGACTTGGCCTTCAAGGGTGTGTGCACACACGCCTCCCCATGTAGCACATGGCACCACGTAAGGAACTAAAGCCATTGGTGCCTCTACCCTCTTTCACAAGCCATCCTCCTCGCTTCAAGGGTTATTCATTCCCTACTTTTCCCTAACATCTTAAAAATCACCACTCACATGAAATCCTTCTCCTTTCTCTGACTAGTCAGCATATCCCTCCTTCAGAGATCACTACTGTAAAATTTAGATAATCTAAAATGCAGCTTTTACTATAGAAAGTAATATCCCTAAAAGATTCCAAATAATCTAGTTTCCATCTTTGAAAATGCAAATTCTCAAATGATGGTAAACTTGATCCTTTAAATACCATTTATACCAATCTGAATTTTGTAAATTTTAGCATCTTACTTACTTGGTGCATTCTTCTAAAGACTGTACAAGCATTTGCTGGAAAGAACATATTTCTTCTAGATTTCCCATTAAATATGAAGTGTTTGCTGAACTTAACCTAGAGCCAAGAAAAATAACAGTAAAAATATGTAAACAGTTTTACTTATATTCCTCTCCTCTCCCATCCCGATGCCCTCTTGAAGTCTTAACCTAATAAACAAATTGCCTATGTCTAAGGCAAACTGGTACACTAAATTCTGTGCCAGTACTTCACGCTCTATTTTCTGAAAATATAAGGAAACAGCCTTAGGTGACGACTATTCTACAATTAACACAATTTAGCATCTAACTTACTTCTCACTGGTCTGCAATGGCCGTAGATAGGTTGAAAGCACAGTCTGAAGTTCTTTAGAGTATTCATTTTCTGTTTCCAAAATATTCTGTAGCACCTACGATAAATGATGAATAAGTATTACTTGACATTAAGATTTCAAAGTTTCTGAAAGTTCATCACCACTGTTCAATTCACATTGTTGCTTTTATATAATATTGTGTTTAATATCATAGATCCCTATGATTAACAACTAAATCCACATAATTACTATTACCATGGCTATACCACTGACTAGCTTACTGCCAGGCACACATGAAACAGGTATACCTAGAATGAGGCTAGACTGAATTCCTTCATCAGTAAGTAATGCCAAGTCTATAGATAAAAAGGAGAAACAACTGATAATCACAAAAGCACAGATGCATGAATGAATCTTTAAGCACTGTTGCGCAAAAGCCATTCACAGAAAGCACATCCTGCCTATTCCATTTATAGTAAATCAAAGAACAGGCAAAACTCATCTACACTGGCAGAAATCAAAAGGGGGGAGGGCAGTGTAACAAGGGGGAAAGGGACATGACATAAATTACTGGGGTAATGGACTGTGCTACATTGTGATTTGGGTAGTTGTTACATAGGCATATACACTTGTCAAAGCTCACTGAACTGTACCCTTAAAATCTATGCATTTTGACATATAAGGTATATTCTAACTAAAAAATATATAAAGTTTATTCTTTAGATTGCGTCTAGGAAATCTAAATTAATTTGTGGGAACTAAAGACCTTCACTAGAGAATATGATAGACTCAGATTATCCTACATATATTTATTAAAAATTAAAGACCTACAGTATAAAACTACCTTTAAATAGCCAGTACAGGCATACTTTGTTTTATTGCACTGCTCTTTATTGCAAGTCACAGGTGTGTTTATTTAACAAACTGAAGGCAAGACCCTCCTCCACCAGTAAAAACATTAGGACTTATTATTGTAATACTTGCTTTATTGTGATGGTCTGGAACTAAACCCACAATAATCTCTGAGGTATGCCTGTACTCTAAAGATAGCAGATTAATTATAAATCAACTTTTAACGTAAAAGGTTTCCTGATACCCTATATTAGTGTAGCAAATTTAGCCCAAAATCACTTAACTCCTAAAAACTGAAATATAAAGTGTAAAACAGCTAAACTAAAGCATGAGGCTCTCTCCACGAGTAATCCCCAAAAGCAAAGGCTCCTCACTGGACAAGGGGAGAAGACGCCGAGGTCTGCAAGTGGAGCCGGGATGTGCAGGCAGGCCTGAGACTAATTACCAATGCTTATGCTCTATATTCTCGGCACTAAGCAGGGTGCTCTACGGTCTGAAGTTCTTTAGAATATCACAAAACCTTTTCCTTTTACAGAGGAAAAGACAGAAATGTAGAGAGACGTATAGAGAGATAACGTAACTTATCCAAAATCAAACAGCTAGTGAAGAACAGAGCCAGAATGTGAGCCTAGATCTCTCTGACACGACACTGCCCACCACTGCCTTCCCCAGCTATCAGACTAGGGGCAGGAGTCAGGGCTCCTCTGGGCCCTGACATGAATAAAGAAAGTGAAATCCCTTCCTCAACTATCTTTTCATCCCCAGCATCTTCTTTAATCAGGAAATCATATTACATGTATTTTCTGAGGATCTATTACATGCACTAACATGTGTTATATCTTCTAAAACTAACAAATGATCCTAAACTAATGATACAAAGAAAGTACAGAATATGAAGCTTTGAAACACACTTAGTTTTCTCCCCCTGGTTTTTTATAATAAAAATATATGTCTAAACATTTAAGAAAAAAGTAATGTTTATGCTTACAGCATTAATTCTGTTCACTACTGTTTTCTGTGTACTCTGAGGAGAGACTACAGTCACTCATGAGTAAATGCAAACCTGATTAAATAACTTACTTACTATACTATTTAATTTGAAGAGAATCAGAGATTCTTTCACTGTGATACTGAACACTGGTTTTGCCCCTGAATGGGTCTATTCATGGAAGACTGGTGGAGTGAGCCAGAGGGAGGAGGGGCCACTCCAGAGTTCATTCCTTTGTGGGGGAATCTGGGTGCTGATCCTATGATTATAATGTCTTTCTTCGAAGAAATACTCTTTAGACACAAATGTCAAAGCACTAGTGGACTGAGAACACAGTGTGACATCAGCCACTGCATCATCAGAGAATTATACTTAAACCTGATCTTATCCTTCAAAAATAATGTGAAGTAATAAGCCAAGTATAATGGGTCACTGAACTAAAAATAAAAATGTCACAGATATGTCCAACGAAAAGTCCTTTTTCAATGTTAAAACAGAGGTTAAGTACAAATATCAGGAATTATTAGCAACACTGGGTAGAATACTGAAAACTTAAAATTCTATTTTATAAAACATAGAGCAGTTCCTAGGTGACATACAAGGAAAACAGGGAGAAAAAAAGAGTGGAAGAATAAGTGGCCTTTCCTCAATGGTAGTATTAAGCACAGCAGGCAGCTGTAAAAGCTTCCGAAAGCATGTAGCACCAAAAACAATCCTCTGCCAAAAAGCTACACCTATTACGACAGTTCAATTGGCTCATTTCTGTTATTGTCATAAACATTCTCTTCAAATAAGTGCTAGAGACAAGTTCTATAATACAGCCATCCAAACATTCCAAGTTACACTTAGCTTTTCCACCAACGCAGGACCAAGACTTGGCTGACTGCGTCATGCTGACGCTGAATGTCCACTCTGCCAGGAAGCCACGCGTCCCTCCTCCCTAAGCACATCAGCACATCTGTGTGCTCCAGTCATCACCTTTCTTCCCTTTCTTGACTTCTGCACACTCTGGCTGCTGCAGGACCCCATGAGACCTAGCAGACAGGTTGCCAAAGCGCCACCACACGAAGGCAGGATACCAGCGAACGCGTGCAGTTCTCACAGAAAGAGCAGTCTTTACTCCACAGCCCTGAGGAACGACCCAGCCTGAGCTCAGCCAGCATGAGCTCTCCCTGAGGCATAAGGCGTGGAGAACCAAGTCCAGTCAAACAATGGTGCCACACAGAAGGAGGACATCAGGCACGCCACACAGACAATCCCTGAACTATCAGCCATTACAGCAAAGCAAAACAAAGGACGCCTGATTTCAGTCACTTGCAGACGCACAGAAATTCATTATTACCACGATTAATGGAGCACTTAGTATCACTGATTGATTTTACAAACGAGTTACAACTTTCATTGCAAATCTTGATAGATATCAGATGCTTTATTTTATATGACATTGATAATCCTTTAAAAATGAATAAATAATCTACATATAAGAAAAAATGAATAACATTAGGTAATTTTCTGAGATGTGATTCTGATAAAAAATTATCATCATAAACTAAAGCCAAATTTCAAAGACATAAACCTGTTTCATACGCACAATGGGAAGAACTAAAGAATGGCACAACTGTTCTAACCCCTCTCCCACCCACCTAGTCGCTCCCTCCCCACACAGGGAAAAATAATCACTGCACATTCTCTTTCAACCCAGTCTATTTAAACTGTATTTAGTACTTAAATATTCAAACAGTAAATTTATGAGACAGGAACTGAACCGCAAATAAACGATCAGCCTCTAGGACAGTGGTTCTCAACCTTCCTAATGCCGCGACCCTTTAATACAGTTCCTCATGTTGTGGTGACCCCCAATTTCATTGTTACCAATTGAACATAATTAAAGCATAGTGATTAATCACAAAAACAATATGTAATTATATATGTGTTTTCCAATGGTCTTAGGCGACCCCTGTGAAAGGGTCGTTTGACCCCCAAAGGGGTCGCGACCCACAGGTTGAGAACTGCTGCTCTAGGGAAAGGAGAGGAAGGGAAGAGCAGTGCTGCTAGAGGAAGCAATTTCTACAGCTCTTCCCAGCTCCACAAATCCAGAGGCCAAAGGAACACAGAGGAGCAATCCACTCCTACATTCACTGGCAATTACTGATTTAATGTAGTTTGTTGATCTCTGCATGTTCTTAATACTTAGTAACATTAACTCTCAAAGAGTTCCGAGGTGCCACATAAAATGTTTTATGTTACTGTACCTATTGGAAGAAGTTATATTATGTTATATTTCTAAATGTGGGGATTCACAAGGTCTTAAAAGTATTTCTTCCAAGCCCTAAGGTTTACTAATATAATAGCTGCAGCAAAAGTGCAGGTTCACAATGACATGTCACCACAGAAAGCTGGGCTTAGCAAGCAAGCTGATGTGCATGCCTGCACCCTCGTGTGTGAAGAACTGGCCCTGGGAGCCTGGCAGACCTGGGCACAAATCCTGGCTCTGCTACTTCCTACCTGGTACTGTACTTGTCTATGGGTCTATCTCCTCTGTTTACAAAAAGGGATTTCTTTCACAAAAGTGTTAGCTCCCTGACTTAGGGTAGAAAGGAATCTTACAAACCACCTAGTACAACCTTCCAACCCAAACCTGGAATCCATAACTCTTAGCCAGGAGGTCATTATTTTACAAGACAGCCTTTTCCATGGTTAAATAACTCAGTTTTTCTTTCATTCACTGAGCAAATGCTTAGCTCCTACTCTGTGCCAGGCTACTGCTACCACCTGAAAACTTTCATGTAGATCCTGATCTATATAAAACAAGGAAAGTATATAAAAACAATGGGAGCAAACTTTGCCAAAGACGTCAGCAAGCCTCTCACTGTCGATATGAAATGTGGGTGGGATATAAGAAAGAATGGCAACAACTCCCTAGGAAAGCCACAGGGAACGAAGCTGCATACCCTTCTATAATACCCAGGGCACATGAGATAATAGACTTTATCCATACACAGCCGGGGCAGAGACATCAGATGTCAAAGAATTGAAAGCAATCTTGATAAAGATGGAGAGAAGCCAAGGGACAGGTAAAAGATACAATAGCAGCAAAATTAAGGCTGAGGTTAGAATGCTCAATGTACACATACAATGTCAGGTCAGAGGCTTGGTGTTCTCCCAGGCCCAGCATGCAAAGTTTCCAGGCAACTAAAGGAACAAAGGGGAAAAGACAGGTGTACCATTTCTCTGGAGCACAGAAAAGGTCCTGGAA